TTTCTAAGAATGACAAAGCCATAATTCATCATATTTATATGGAAGCATGCTCAGGTAGTGTAGATTCAAGTTTGTTCAAATCATGACCCCCGGGGGTAGGGCGGGGCCAAAATGGCCGACCAAAGTTTTACATAAAAATATATAGGAAAATTCTTTAAAAATCTTCTTCTCAAGAATGTTAAAGCCATAATTCATCATATTTATATGGAAGCATGCTCAAGTAGTGTAGATTCAATTTTTTTTCAAATCATGATCCCCAGGGGTAGGGCAGGGCCAAAATGGCCGGACAAAGTTTTTAAAGATATATATAGGAAAATTCTTTAACAATCATTTTCTAAAAAATAGCAAATCCATGATTGGTCATGGGACTACTTTTGGATTTAAACTTTACAATAAAAAGCTATTTTGTACTTTTTCCTACCCTACGTGCTCAGGTGAGCGATGTGGCCCATTGGCCTCTTGTTTATTATTTTCAAATCTTACAAATACGCAACGGGAAACATAAGTGATAATGACCCCTCTCTAAACAAAGATGTTTAAATAAATGGTAGTTAAATGCATACACTTAAAGAACAAAATGTGCTTTTGAGAAAGTAATGTCTCGGTATGGCAGCTTATGGTGAAAATTGAAGTTTCTCAACTGCAAATCAAACTCCAAGGTCAAGGTCAATATTATTGGTAGTATGAGGAAGGTCTTTTCATAAGAAATACACCTTTGGAATATGAAAACCATAGCCCCATCCAGTCAAAAATTATAATCAAGGTAAAAATATTTGCGAAAAAAAAAAACAAATAGAGAGATAGGACAAAAAATATACCTTTGAATTTTAAATTACAAAGTCATTATTATATGTCTTTTATTTCGGCCTTAGATGGAAAGAAATTTGTTTTTTTAAACGTCAATAACACATCTTATTGTAATTGAAGCTTAATGCAAGAGTCGTTTTTCATTCAAGTTAATTATCTAAGTAAAATTCACTCATTGCAGAAAATCCAGAAAATGAAAAATCTTCAGATTTTTATTCTTCAAGGTATTGTTCATCTTTTCTAAACACAAAATTACACAATTACAGTCTTTTAGATGATTTAATACGTTTAACCTGATATATTCTTTTATTTTGTGATATCAGTGGCTTGATGCTTATTTATCGTCTCGATTTTCAAGTTTAGATAATTTAAAGGAGAAGGCAAAAGGAGCAAATCATGAACTTTCTACTGTTTCAGGTATATAATCACAATTCATTGTAAACTCATTGTAAACTCTTTAATGCCTTTTTAGCTCACCTGAGCCGAAGGCTCAAGTGAGCTTTTCTGATCAAAATTTGTCCGTCGTCTGTCGTTGTCGTCGTTGTTGTCGTTGTCGTCGTTGTTGTAAACTTTTCACATTTTCATCTTCTTCTCAAGAACCACTGGGCCAATTTCAACCAAACTTGCCACAAAGTATCCTTAGGGGAAGGGGATTCAAATTTGTTCAAATGATGGCCCGCCCTGTTCCAAGGGGAGATAATTATGAATTAGTGAAAAATTAATGGCATTTTTAAAAAACTTCTTCTCAAGAACCAATGGGCCAAAAAAGATGAAACTCACGTGGAAGCATCCTCAGGTAGTTTAGATTCAAATTTGTTCAAATCATGACCCCCTGGGGTAGGATTGGGCCACATTGGCCGATCAATGTTTTACATAGGAGTATATAGGGAAAATCTTTAAAAATCTTCTCAAGAACCACTGGGCCAGGAAAGATGAAACTCATGTGGAAGCATCCTCAGGTAGTGTAGATTCAAGTTTGTTCAAATCATGACCCCTTGGGGTAGGGTGGGGCCACAATGGCCGATCAAAGTTTTACATAGGAGTATATAGGGAAAATCTTTAAAAATCGTCTTCTCAAGAACCACTGGTTCAGGAAGGATGAAACTCATGTGGAAGCATTCTCAGATAGTGTAGATTCAAATTTGTTCAAATCATGACCCCCAGGGGTAGGGTGGGGCCACAATGGCTGATCAAAGTTTTACATAGGAGTATATAGGGAAAATATTTTAAAACCTTCTTCTCAAGAACCACTGGGCCAGGAAAATTGAAACTCATGTGGGAGCATCCTCAGTTAGTGACATCCTAGTGTCAATTCAAGTTTATTGAAATCGTGACCAACGGGGGTAGGGTGGGGCCACAATGGCCGATCAAAGTTTTACATAGGAGTTTATAGGGAAAATCTTTAAAAATCTTCTTCTCAAGAACCAATGGGCCAGGAAAGATGAAACTCATGTGGAAGCATCGTAAGGTAGTGTAGATTCAAGTTTGTTGAAATCATGACCCCCGGGGTAGGGTGGGGCCATAATGACTGATCAAAGTTTTACATAGGAATAAAAATCGTCTTCTTAAGTACTTTAAAGCAATGATTAGTGATAGTACAAGAAGAAAATATTTTTAAAAAATCTTTTTATAAAGAACAGCAAAGTCATATGCTGTATTAAAATGAAGGCATTTTAAAGTAGTAATAAATTCAAGTCCCCCCTTTCAGTAAACTTTTCAGTTCTGGTCTGATTTGTGTTTTTTTCCTAGACAATTTGCTCAGGTGAGCGATATGGCCCCTGGGCCTCTTGTTTATGAATATATTTATACTCACTGTTTGTTTTTTTTCGAGTAAGCCAACAGTGATTTGAATACCATTTTCGTGTATGCTCACGCGTAGAACATGCACGTAGAAACTCGCACGTAGAAACTCGCACGTAGAAACTTAACGTCACAATGATGCAACAGTGACATTTGTAAAAATGACAATGAGATATTCAAATATTGAGTATATTTTTTGTGCTTTCAAACATATAAAGTGTAAATGTAAGGAATTATTTTAAGTTTTGTGTGTAATTATTGGTGTGTGAATCACACACAATCCATTTTGCGGCGGTTTTTTCTTTTCAAATCTTTTTTTCCACATTCAACAAATATTTTTATGTAACTCATTATTGTAAGGCTTTAAATAGTAAAATATTTAAGACTGGTTTAAAAATGAACGAAAAAATACTTTAAATTCTTTTTAAACTTTTTCTTTTCAAATCTTTTTTTCCACATTCAACAAATATTTTTATGTAACTCATTATGAATTGGCATAAAGTACATTAATAATACCATGGCCACTGTGTTGGCAATTCATAATTGATTTTTTTTGTGTGGAATTTCTGTAGTAATTCCATTACTCGTTATTCTGTATAAGTAATTAAGGGCCGTTGGTTTTGTATATCTAAACTAAAATAATAAAAGCTAAAAACGTCATGTCGGGAAACAATTCAGGGATAATGACCAAACTCTGAGGAAATATGTTAAGCAATAGTATTGTAAACGTATAGCATTAAAGAACAAGTGCTTGTGAAACACTGATGCCATAATATTGCTAACGATGGTGAAAATTTATTTTTTTCAAATGCAAGACAAATTCCACGATCATATTAAAAATTGTTAGTATTAAGAGGAAGGATGTTCAACAAGGATTACAATTTTATACAAATATAAAAGCCTTAGTACTAATTGTTCAAAAGTCGCGACTATCCAGTCAAATGTTATGGGCAATAATAAAGTATTTGCGGAAAAAAGTCAAACGATAGACAGACAGGACAAAAACCATATACCCCGAATCTTCAATTACGGGGGCATAATTTTGTGGGGGGGTTTTTTTGGATTCTGTCCGATAGAATTTTTTTTACTTTTAAAACGACGACAATATACTAGTATCTGCATGTAACTGAGACTTAGAGCAAAAGGTTTTTCATTTATGTAAATTATCTTAGTAAAATTCTTTAATTGCAGAAAATCCAGACAGTGAAAAATCTTCAGATTTTTGTTCTACAAGGTATTGTAATTCATTTCTAAGAGATTTACACGATTAAGTTCTTCGGGGATTCTAGATGATATAATATGTTTAACCGAATAACTTCTTTTATTTTGTGATATCAGTAGCCTAATGTTTATTTTTCTTCTCAATTTTCAAGTCTAGATCATTCAAAGGAGAAAACAAAAGGAGAGATACATAAACTTTCTACTGTTTCAGGTACTGCAATCACAATTCATCGTAAACACCATAATGTCCTTTTTATGAAATTGAAAACAGTTGTCTCCATTTTGCAGCTGTTTAGCTTACTCATTGTAAAGCTTCAAATGGTATCTTTTTATCACTGGTTTAAAAAAACAAAACAAAAAATACTTTAATTTTTTTAAAAAACTTTTTTATTTAAATCTTTTTATACAACCAACAAAAACTGTATGTGTAAGTAAAAGAAGCGGGCTTCATATTTTAGCGGCTTTAGCAGTACGTTAGTTTATGAGTACCGCTAAAAAAATAATTATAACAAATACAATATATCATTTATTAGGTGCTGTATAAATACAATATACAGCGTCTAAGTGTGTAGCGCTTATTCTTGAATACGTTAATAACTGAACGTCAAGTGATTGCGCTAAATTTTGAATACCACAATATATGTACACTTACAGTAGTTTGATGTAATGTAAAAGTGGAAGATATTGAATATTGATACATGTAGTAACCATTCTCACTGTGTTGCAAATCTAATTACCTGTGAAAGACATTTGTTTTTCCATATTTTAACTAAAATAATAAAAGCTAAATATCTCACTGTAAACATTTGCAATAATGGCACCTCGCGAAGGAAAAATGTTCTAACCAATGGTATTGTAAACGTATAGCCTTTAAGAACAAGATGTGCTTCTGAAACAATAATGCTTCCGTAAGGCAGCGTATGGCGATTAAAAGTGAAGTTTCTCATATGCAAGTTGAGCTTCAGGGTCAAGGTCAAAATTGTTGGCATTAAGAGAAAAGTCTTTTCACAAGAAATACACCTGTGAAAAAAATAAGCCCTGGCACTAACTGTTCCAAAAGTCATGTTCAAAGAATAAGTTTTTAAAAAGTGGGTCAAACTCTAAATTTAAGGTCGAAAGGTCAGTATTTCTTTATACAAATTGAAAGGTACCAACTGCTTAAAATTTGTGACCATAGTTAATGTTAAGGTTTTTATTCAAAGTGGGTCAAACTCAAAGATCAAGATTGAGAGGTAAAATGTGGTGGTACCCAAAGAAAGCTCTTGTCACAAGGAAAACAACTGTAAATATGAAAGTCATTTCCTCATCCAGTCAAATGTTATGGACAAGGTTAAAGTATTTGCGGAAAAACAGTTAGACGGACAGGACGAAAACTATATACCCCCAAATCTTCCATTACGGGACATAATTTTGGATTCAGTTGGATTGAAATTTCTTTACTTTTAAAACAACGACATTATATATGCATGTAACTGAAACTTAAAGCAATAGACGTTTTTCATTCATGTAAATTATCTAAGTAAAACTCTCTCATTGCAGAAAATGCAGACAATGAAAAATCTTCAGATTTTTGTTCTACAAGGTATTGTAATTAATATCTATGAAATTTTTGGGCAGCTTCTAGATGATATATCAAGTTTAATCCAACATCTTTTATTTTGTGATATCAGGGACCTAATCTTAATTGTCTCCTTATTTTTCAAGTCCAGATAATTCAAAAGAGAAGACAAAAGGAGAAATACATGACGCTTCTGCTGTTTCAGGTACTATTCATACAATTCATCGCAATCTCCAGAATTCCTTTTATATGAATTTGAAAACAATCAATTTTGCAGGTTTTTTGCATATTTTAAGGCTTCAAATGCTATAAATGAATGATATGGAGATAACGAACAGTATTCAATATCAAAGTCCATAAAACAATACAAAGTAGGAGCAGAGCAAACACGAACCTCCAAAACATCAGAGGTGGGATCAGGTGCCATAAAGTGATAACTGGTTTACAAAAGGGAAAAAACTGATCATTTTCGTCTAAAAAACCTTCCGTCACAAAATATAGTCCCTAGCTTAATTCTACTTGAATGGAATTGAATCGCGGTTTTTTCATTGAATATATTTCAGTTTGCATTGTAGAATTCAGATCTAATGTTAGAACTTAAAATGATGCAGAATTTTATAAATAAAAGACATGACCAAAATCCACTCAAAATCTCAGGATCGAACGTCCTTTAGGCAATGGTATTGGAAATGCATAGCCTTAAAGAACAGGATGTGCATGTTAATTATACTGGGTAATAAATTTTATTGTAAACACATTGTTATTTACCTTTTAGTTTAGAAGATAAGAACGACAGTATGCATTTAACATGTTAGCAAATTATCTTTCAAAAATATAAAATATAAAGAACACATATTTATTGATATTAGTACCTTTGCTTTCTGTATTACAGATGATTCCAACAGTGCCAAAGCCTCAGGAATTTCCGTTTTAATGTAATTAAGATAGTTGAATTTATTGTTGTTTAGGGCTTAGTCACACCCTAGCTGATAGCTCTGACAGACTCAATGGGGATAAAAACAGTTGCACAACCCAATTCTTTGGTAATACGTTGAAGAAGGTCGTCCCTCGCTGCTTTTCGAGAATCTTGCGATCAAAACGTATAAAACATGAAAAAATGTATGATTACAGACAAATAAGGAAACAACACTGTTAACGGCTTTCCTCGTCTTAGTAGCGTTCAATGTTTGCATGGTCGCCGTGCAGAGCACATGCCGTTTATCTGTTTCACGACCGTTAATGGCGAAGTTCAGAATAAAAATTTGTGCTCTTACAAAGAGTTTGAACGGACACCCTTAATTCGAGAGAAATAAACTTCACTGGACCTTTCGTGACATTGATTCTATTCTTATTTGAAAATTAGTCAAGGAACAGTTAAAAATTGCCATCAGCGTTATTCGGTAAGGTGTGGCCAAGCTCTTATAAAGAATTTTTAGTTATAAGTAGTTCAACAATAAAATATTATTTTCTTCTCTATGGATATTTAATGGCTCTTTTGAAAACACATTAAGTAAAATTCACATGTTTTAAAAAAAAAAATTATTATCCTTTTTAGAAATTCCATTGGTTTTGAAAAAAGAGCCTTTTCAAAGACTGAAAATGTCAATACTCAAGGTGAGTATCATATATATATCGAGAGAAAGAGAGAGAGAGAGAGAATGAGTTAGCTACTTCAACTGAATTCACCGCACGTAGTTTCACCAGAATGTTCAAAATCTAAATGGTTCTCAATTAATCCAATATCTAATAGGGCCTTTCATTATACAGGGTTATAATTTGAAAATAATTTTTAAAGCATAGCGTGTTGACTTTCTTAAAGTATAACGAGGCATGTTAAATAAAGCAATCAATCAGGGTGAAATTTTATCATGTTTCAACCATAATGTAAGGAATTTTGAAGAAAAAGAGAGTAACTGTAAAACTAGTTGCTGTCATAAGACAGTAAACCCCACAATATCGACGCACACTCCTTCATGGAGGGATTCAACCCTTATTGCACATCTACAAGAAACCAGCAATATCCTTCGAGAAGATAATACGACTACTGTATAAAATTTAGTTCTTGAATGTTTGTCATTTTAACCCATATTTGGTCTCCAGAGTAAAATTATAAATCCCACAAGTTATTTCACGTCTACATAGACAAGACAACCTCTATCATAGTCAAAAAGATTAATTGGTTACTTATTAAAATATTAGAGGATTTCAGACGAACGGACGGGCGCACCAGGGTTTTAACAAATACCCGAGCTTTCCTTTTTTCAGAAAGTGTGGGTAAAAATATGTTTGATAGGTTAAATGACAATTAGTTTTAATAATGACAACAAAATAATTTCGCGCATATTTTGAAGAAAGCAAGCAAATAATATCTATATAATAATGCATACTTGTATCATATATAAGTTAATAATACTCCGATTTTGATGTTTTGAAATTACGTTGTGTTTATTTTATGGTTAACCATTTAAATAAATATATGAACTTTCTTAAAATACTTCCATGATCATTTTCCTCCCTTTTTATTACTTAATGAGTGAGATCTTTGGCATGACTGGAAGAGTATAAAATACTGAGTATATTAATTTTGTTTGGTTAATTACAGATGCTAAAAGGTCTTTAGAATCCAACAATTGCCGAGAGAGGTAAAAAAAATTGCATTTTTATAATGTTCTAAGGACAAAATCTTTTAACCCTGTAAACACCATGTATCTTGAAATTATTTTTTTTTCTTTTGTAGACCAGAGAGCATATCGAGTGATGAAATAACGCAGCTGTGAAACTTGAAAAAATGTTAAAAGAAATTAGTTTAACAGAACTATGTCAGGGAATATACATAGATGACAAGAATGTCAGGATAACCAAAAATAAGCTTAGAAATTGTAAACGCATAAATTGTAAAACTTGAGAACTTATATATTATCCAAACAATCTGTACACTTTTGACAGCATTGTAAGCATTATTTTGTTACATATATTTATACAAGACACTAATATAAAAAAAATAAACAATTATAACATAAAGTTTTATAATAATCTTCTTACAATATAGAATTATATCTGATACCTTAATCAATTATTTACAGTAACAAGGTCAAGCCGACAGTAACGTATACTTATAAAAACAAACTCTTTCATATTACGTTTGAGAAATTGTCCAAACATAATTAAGTATTGAAAAGTTTAATTAATTTGAATTGTTTCGAAAAGATTTTGCTATCATTTAATTTCTATAAAATATTTGATTCTGATTGGATAAAAAAAATTTTGATAACTGCATCAATAAAATCTAGTGATCGCTTGCACTAAGCAGCCGGAACTACTTTGGCTGTCTTTACATGTATATTTCCCGCTTCCATATTACTTTTTGAAGGAATAATTAAACAGTTTTACATTAATAGAAATTTTCCGGAATTCGAAACCTGTCCGTTACGTTCCTGACTTAATTTTCTACTTTCGTTTCTTTTTGACTTATCCCCCTTTGCTAAACAAACCAAATTGTCTGCATGACAACAATGCAGTTATGGGAAAGAATGAAAGAAATCGGCATGATTTTTTTTAATAATTAAAATTTATAAGAAATTAAATGTACATTATTAAATTATTAAATGAAAATTATATACCAGAAACTTTTAATCTACTTACTGACAAGTATAAATACAAAAAACAGCTTGATGGGCAGTTAAAACATTTGGACTTAGTGTCAGCAATTAAAGAAATGATGACATTTTAAATGTTAAATAGACATTTTAAAGAAAATTAAGATTTAAAAAAACTTTTCTGGTTTCTAGGGCATGAAATGCGTCATTATTTTTTTAGAAAAAAAATTAACAGATTTCGGTGTTCAGTATGGTGATCTAGATTTTTTCTGTATAAAAAACTTTTTGAAAATTTTTTAAATAATATTTTGAAAAAATAATCATGTTTTGCTCAAAACTATAAGACTCGAATCTATAAGATATAATAGAATATTTATATATCAATCTTGTTTGTAGAAATATGTACTAGTACTTACATCTTAGGATGACTCTCAAAGGTAATTTATCTTACACTTTTTATTTTCTTTCCTAGCATTTTTCATTCATTCATATTGTTAAAATTGTTAATAAATAATTAGCTCTTCATTTTTAGACAAACAAGAATATAATAATTGAAGAAACAACACAGTTGTCAAACCTAGCTTATCAAGCCTGTCTTGGAAAACTTTGTAAACCAGATTCATTTTATTCAAGGAAAATTAAAGCAAAAAGATTTTGATATCGTCCATTTCAATACATCATATCGGCGATAAATAAAAATGTAATTAAAAATATAAACTCAGTTGATTATATATATTTGTTACCTTGACTTTTTGTACAGAGAGGGTATTTATAGGCAGTTTGCTTGTTGCCCAATTTATTCAGTATTCTGAATATATATCGTTTTAATCACTTTGTATTTGCGGTGTTTCTCGTAACATATTTGAAATTCTACCACGATTATTGCAGACTTCAAAGAAATGCCGTGGACATTATTCTCCAATAAATCACGAATTTCATCAAAAAATTATCAGATCAGAAACACGTATCAAACCTGTACAGTTGAAATAAATATTTGACTCTAAAATAAAATACTTGTTTAGACCACATCGATGTGTCGTCTTTTGCAGTCTGAACACTGTAAATTACATCAAGTTGCTAATAAATGTCGGTATTTATAGCCAAGCGGGCCTATTCCACGGACCTCCCTACACATTTAAACACCAATAAAGCAGTTAAACAGAAAGTGAGAAACATGATTTTGTTATTGTATATTCATTAGAATTAATCAATGCATGTAACGAACAAATTTGAAATTTAAAAAGGTTATTTCTCATGCAACGAAAGCACAAATTGTCTGCATTCCATACACATGTAAGCAAACAAAATTTCCCTCTGGTGTTAAAAGGAACAGCGTAATCGAGACATGGTGATCTAGTTCGTTTCTGTAAAGAGGAAACGATCAGACGTATTTTAGCGATCTTCATGATCTTTGTAGAATAGAAATAAAGTCCTTGTTGTCGTGAATGTTACAGGATAACCTCCTCAGTCTCGAAATGTTGTCTGAAATATAAAAGCATCGGCTAACGCCTCGGCTTTTATCTTTCAAACACATTCCTCGACCTCGGAGGTTATTCTGCAACATTCACGAAAACGCGGACTTTATTTCTTAAGCAGCAAGGGGGCGCCGAGCGACTGTGACTCAAATTTATGAAAAAGAAACGCAGGGTAGCATAATGTTCAAAAAAATTTTGACCACATGACCGAAAATTACGAAAATTGGTCAGAAGATAAATTTTGTTACTATGCACCAAAATCAGTATTCAGAATTACTCAACCGTAAAATTTATGACGTCATGTAGGGAAAACGTTAAAAGCCCAAAACACGTGCAATTTGATAACGACGAGATTGTCAACAAATCTTGTTGCATTATTTGATGCAAATGAGGTATGCACATTGTTTTTCAATATTAAGAGACATTATGAATTGCTTGCGATCTTGGCACGGTATACGCAAGTTCAATGGGGTCTTGTTTTCGAATTGCCTAATTAATGAAAAAGGCAACATCTGTTTACTTAGCACTTTCTTGTAAATTTCCCCCATAAAACTTGTTACCCGTTGTCAGAGAGGGTCTTGAGTGGTTTTTAATCCACCGTGACGTTGACGGTAACGCGAAACAGAGTCATGTTACGAGCGGGTTATTCGTCCTCCCATCTCTTAAATCGCCACCTTACTACCACAAAAACAGCCATTTATAGAGTAGATGATTATAATCATTACATTCATACGAAATTTGAAATAAAACAACTCCGCAATTTTGGTTTTTTGAGCCAGTCAACTTACTGTTGTATTCCTCTCACCGGCGCATGCGCGCGCCGTTTGACTTATTTTTTTGCGTGGTTACCCATGCTAAATATAGTCAGGATTTGAAAGATAAACACTCTGAGGAAAGTCCATGCAAAGGAGAAATAAGACTCTGACAGATGCACGGGCGAGATATTGAAGATAATGAGAGTTTTCGATTTTCACTTTTGGGGGGTATCGTCATTTGAGCTTCAATAACTCATGAATTATCAGACAAAATCAAATGGGAATTTGGTTATATCTTTTTTAAAGATGATTTTAAAAGTTAGATAGGAAAACTAAAACATATTTTAAGAAAAACAAATTTAATTCACCTCAAAAGTTTACCCTGCGTTTCTTTTTCCTTTCAGTATATAACAAGCAATCTGAGAATCCTGTTCCCATACCGGAAGGTGCAATCTGGTTCTCATTAAACAGGTCGGAGAGAATACTCGAAATCGGGTATTATCCGTGAAATCGCGTATAATACTCGATATTAGGGTATCGTTGAATCCGCGAAATCGGGTATAGGAGGTGTAATCACCTAATAAAACTTAAACAATGGGATGGCGCATGTTGCCGAGTTAACTTTCATCTAGATACACATGTTTTCTAAAGGTATCACTAGCCAAGTAAGAATTTGGGCGTCAAGATTAATGCGCTCGGGACAACAAATACCCGTGGAGCTCAGTACATTTCATGATCTGCACACAAAAAGACGTTCGATTTGCTTTATATTTTTCCTTATGTTGAAAGTATATGCATCTTCCTAACGTTCATTCCCAACACAACAGAATTGTAAAATATCAGAATTCGGGAATTTATAATAATTCCACATCAATACGACAAACATGAACAATTTGTAAATAAATCAAATTATACGGAAACACATTTCACACACCAGATATGATGCCATGTATAAACAAGGGATTGTCTTTCGTATCTAATTATGCGTCATTAATTACTTTCACATTCATCTTGTGCATAAAATCAAATTTATTTATGAATGTATAAATAATGTAATGATAAAAATGTCTAAAATTTCGGCCAAAAGAACCCTCTTTCTCTTTTTCTGAAAAGCTTTTCTTTTTTATTTATCATTCAAACATATTTGCAGAATATGTCTTCAACATTTTAGCAGAGACAGTGATAGTTTCAGGAATACAGCTTATGAGAGAACATAACTGTTGATCGTTTAATTTCGCTAAGTCATCAATATTTTACCATTTCTTGGCGACTTCAAAGGGGGGGGGGGGGGGGCTAAAGGTTTCTTTGTCACCTCTGACAAAACAACCTCGACTGTGTTCTACATGGGTCCAAGAGACCTCTCTTTGAATGTCACGGTCGGTTAAACTCGGTCATATATTTTTAATCGTAGGGAAGATTTATTCATCAAATAAAAATCTCATATTTTGTAGGTATACAAAAAGCAACCGTTATTTTATAACACAATAGGAGACTCCAAGTAACTAGAATTCAGGTTTATTTTTTAAACACATTTTTTCATTATAGATGAGTATTAGGAAAAGTTATTGCCATGAGTAATACATATTATAGATAAAATAACTAAAAGAAAACTGTGACATATTGTCTAGAACCAATCAGATAGTGCGTTGTATTAGCATATTATAATGAGGTATAAGATAGCGATATAGAAAAAATATAGATTAAGAAGGTTAAGAGGTAAAATTTACCCTGTCTATCAAATAGTATAATAAAGAAAGGAAGTGGCTACGATTTTTATGAAATTTTAATGTCCGATGAGGAATTGTATTCCCAAAAAGTAAGACAAGAGTTTCCAAGGCAATTGAACACTCCATTATTTCAGTTTGTTCATAAACATGTTCATAAACGTAAAAACTATAAGAAATGTGAAAACTTGACTATGTAATTCATATTTCAATATGACTGTACCTCGATCTATATTGAGAAATTCAATGTATTATAAGCTCATGAAAATCTACACATTTGACTTTTATTTATACAAAAAAAAAGAAAATCCTGTTCATATGACTTCTCGCTCTCAATTTTCTCACAAATGCATAAAATAAAGGTAAAACAGCATATCTTGTATCGATTAAAATACAACCAAAAAATTTACGGTGTCTTTGAATAA